CAGGTATGTGAAGAATTTAGAAATAATTGTTTGATGATTTAAATAATACTAGTGATTCGTGCTCGTGAACAAGCTGCGTGCTCGTCAAGTCTAACGAATTCATCAAATGATACCAATATTGAAATGACAACGTCAACGGAATCTATGACAAATACCATCAAGATGACAACACCAAAAAATACTGATCAACACGTGCAAAATCTGAAACCATCGGTAGTATATACTGCTCCGAATGGTGAAGTAGATAATTCATCAACATTGAATGCTTGTTTATTATGCAAAACTGAAGAAAAACGTTTGGCTTGCATTCCCTGTGGTCATCTAACCGTCTGTACCACTTGTGGTCGTTCTCTTCGATTATGTCCTCTATGCCATCGTGAAATTGAAGCTTTTGTTCGTATATATTTGTAGATCATGGAAGTTTAGTAATTATCCATTATTGTCAAGAGGGACATAACAGACTTCATGGCTCTACTTGACTTCATATAAATTCGCTCTTGTGTGTAGTTCTTAGTATTATAAAAACATGTTTCTTTGTATTTCGTTAATTGATTATTAAAAATAGAGAACACATATGATACCAGTAAAAAGAACGGTGAGGGTGTGGCTGTGAGTGTGGTTGGGTGTTACTAGGGTGGGTGTTGGTATAGTTTGGTGTTAGGAGGATGGCTGTGGGTGTCCACTCTTTATATTTACTCTCACATCCACAGCCTCAAGAAGGTGTAAGTGAATATATGAAAACTACAGTACCTATTGTCACACTCTTGTCCAAACTGATACTTCAGTATTACATTGGATGATGGAATAAGCTAGCACATGTCAACGATCTATTAGTTCGAATGAAATCATCGATTAACTTCAATTAATCGTTAGTTTTCTTATCCTTTGCGACGATATATTAAAGCAAAGATGATTCTGACGGCGCTGGATTTCTGATGTGAATTTCATGATTTGAAACTAGGTAAACTATCCATTTGTTTTTGGTTTCTTCAAATTCGCAGGAGACAATATTGAAACGAAAACAGGCACGGAGTAGTATTTCTTCTTCATAATTGTAAATAGAATGAGGCGCTATATTCCAACCGTCACCCCATTTGATAGGGAAATAAAAAGTACGTTACCATATTGCTCCGCTCTGTCTCGATTCAGACTGGTAGATGTGTATGCGGGAAACATGAAAGTTGTTTCAGGTGTAGCTTCTGAAGGGTCAACACATCTGTTCTCATATTGTTTGATTAGGTCATTCGATAAGTTAGCCCCGCGATATACAGTCATCTCCCTGTGTACTTCAGGTTCTCTTAATTTCCAAAATAGTAGAGCAAATGGACCAAAAGTAGATACCTTCTTCCGCCAAAGATTTTCGTGTTTAGGATCACCTATAAGGCGCATAACTTCGTTCAACTTTTTATAGAGAAAGGATTGCATGCAGTAGAGACGAGCACAACATGTCCAAATTTCTGTTTTAGAACCTGTCTTCTCTTTTAGTAGTTGTCCAGCGAACCATTCAGCAACCTTCTGTTGACCAGCCTTCTTTCCTTCAATGACAAGACCTTCAGCTGCTTTCTCAACAATCTTTCGACGAACACTACTGTTATCAAATAAAAATGAATTGTGTGGGTGTGAGTGTTTATTAATTCATTCAAAATTTTTGAATATTCTGTTGTATTTTTTGTAAACAAAACCATTGTTGTATAGGATAAACAACAGCAATAAACTCTTTTTAGCGCGCTCAACTAAGCATAAATAAGAACACAGTTTATCACATAGAAACTTGTAATAAGACTGCGTTGAATTGAGCTGACAAATGTTTCTCAGCATACATAAATTGAATTCTAAAACTTTCTATAAGTATATGAGTTCAATAAAATTGCGTTGAGAAAATTTTTCGACATAAGTGAATTGAAATGAATTGAGTTGAGAAATTTCTTAGAGATCGTCTAGCTGAGTTGAATTGAACTAAACTTTTCTTTCAATGAATTGAATCGAATCGAATTGGGCATCTTTTTGAGCTGAATTGCACAGCTTTGATTACACCCACACATCACCCATACTCACATATCACCCACACATCACCCATACTCACATATCACCCACACCCTTACATCACCCGCACCCTCACGATGAACGAGGCACAAAAAATTCAACGCAACTAATTAGGGAAAATAAATGAACAATTTCAAAAGAGAACTGTTATGTCCGTTTTACGTTGATGTGTATATCGTTTATTTGATACTATAATGTAACTTCAGCATACATCTTTCACCATAACTTACACGCATCTTTATATAACATACTACGACCATGATTGAAGGGAAAATACTCAAGAGATAAATGATAGGGAGAAACCAACAGGAACACTAGGTAAAAAACATTTATCAGAAAGAAGGCAACAGATATATAGAAAAAAGAGAGAACGGATATGTATCGATAAAACCCTCCTGTAGTCTTGTCTTATATCATATTTCATAATGTGACGTAACAAGAACGTTTGAAGAATACAAGATGATGGGGAAAAGGAAGAAGTCGATACATGTATGCCGTATACGCTACCTATACTAACGGAGAAAAAAAAATTATATATAACAATAATAGTATAACGCGATTTTTCAATGCTTCGTGTGCACACAATTCAAAACACAAAACACTAAAAAATTATACTGATTTGTCGACACTCACATGGCTCTCGTTCTGTTTTTTCACCTTTTTTCTATATGACTTTGTTTTTTTCTTCACGTATCGCTTTTAATGTTGTTTCTTCCTCTTCTTCCTTCACTAGCAGCGTTACTGCACCCTCCTCGGTAAAAGTGAAAACTTCCAACTTACATACGTATCGTGAGAGAGACGTCGCTTCATTCAACTTTGCAAACTGCTTTGAAACACTATTTCAGCGAATAAAAGGAATTTTATCAATCAACAATCATTTTTTTCGGTAAGATAACTTAATATTACGTAACTAAGATATTTATTTACAGTTGTATGAGTGTGGGTGTCTGACTCATCCCCAATACAAGTCCATTCAATACCCGGGTTCTTACTCATCAATGTGCTTCTAATTACATTCATCTTTAGGGTGTTAATAGCGGAAGCGTGGATGTGAGTGTGAGATATGAGAAGGGTCTGGGTGAGAATGAGTGGATGTGAAAGTGAGCGAGATTATGGATAAATCAAACAGACACGTCGTCGCTCATATTTACACCCACACCCACCCTGGCTCATTGATAAAATGCGGTTTTTGGCTTTATCTGAGATAGTATAAATTCATTTTTTCGCTCTTTTTCACAGAAAAAAATCAAGAAATTGCCTTGATGATTCGCCCAAATCCGCTAATGATATTTTTCATAGATTTTTCTTAGAACAAAACGTCTACTTATCGAGATTTGAATAATATGTTTCGTAGATATTTTGCATAGCATTTGTATTGATGGATTATTAAAAAATAAGAAATTAGGTCGATCTAATTTTAGACGTTTCTACTATCAATTAAGAACTATTTTAGAAATTCTATGTAGAGTAAGATAGTTTTAGTTACGATGTTATTTAGATCAATCAATAAATCTAACACAGTAATATGAACCCGAGAATACCTTCTCAATTCATCAGGCAATGCAATGAAACAACACCTGTATCGACTACAACTAACAATCCTTTGGGGCATATTTATTGGGAATGGACCTCAAATCAAACAAGCCTTTTCGGTTCTTCACTAAATCAAGGGATGCATTTTTCGGATGTGTACAACTATATTATCGAAGAAGCATATCTCAAGGGGCAGAATAAAGTAATATTAGATGACGGTATTGTTGATTTGAAACACAATATACAATATTCTACCATTGAACCTAATAATCGAAGAAATGTGAAACGGATCATAGCTGACAAAAATGATATGCGTTTACAAAAAGAAAGGTTTACATCAAATATATTTGCTTCTGTACGTGCGGCTGATGCTCCATATTATTCAATATCACTATTCATCGTCGAAACAATGAAATCTCTCAAACTGAATAAAAATCAATTGCCTTCACAAGATCAAACAGTGATACCGGGAGTTGTTGACGAAGCTGCTGATGGTATTTTGGAAGAGGGAAAAATAATCAATAAAAAATATGAAGCCGAATGGATGGCTAACCGGCTAAGGAGAACAAGAAACAGTAGTATCGAAGAAGTATGGAGATGTTGTGCAGAACTTTATTCAATGGAGAGTTTCTTGTACAAAAGCCTGAACGACGCTATGAGATTGACCGGCATACAAGGGCATGAACAGCTTTGGCAAAATAAAATCCGTACATTGGGCGCATTTTGTCTATTACTCTGGGACTATCCATTTAGTAACAAGACGGTGAAAAAAAATCAAACACTCTATCGTGGGCTCAAGCTATCTCCGACTGAAATGGAATGTTTCAAGAATAATTATTTGGAAACACCAAAAGCGCAGCTTTCATTTCGGAGTTTTATGTCATGTAGTCGCAATCGTGATGTAGCGGAGAAATTTGGTAGTATTTTATTGATCATCAACGGGGTACATGCTTTGACTATGGATCTTGCACCGTTCTCCAAATATTCTCAAGAAGAAGAAGTATTATTGTATCCTGAGAGTCGCTTGACCATTGAGCGAGTGGAACTCGATAGAATCACAAATAAACCTGTAGTATATCTAAATCTAGAATACAAACATAATGGTAGGCAATATTAAGTTTAGAATACCTGGTTATGGATGCAGTGGTGACGATCATTAATCGCTGTATCGGTCGAACCAGTAAAACGATAACCGCTTAAAATATCTGGAGAGTGTCGATGTTCCCTCTCTGAAGTCACACCCACACCCACCCTCAACTTTTCTCTGACAGAATATGAATTCTTAGATCTGACTAATATAGTGTGTTGTATGTTTTTTAGAATATGAATGGACTCAACCACAATCGAGAGACTATTCTTCAACAACAACGGAACAACAGTCAGGTAATATATTACCATTTAAAAACAGTAGCTTCTTTAACAAGATGTTACCGACAAAAATGGATGAACTTCGTCGTGTGTTCGAAACTTGTAAAGGTTTAACACAAAAGCAAAGTGTTCATTCTACTATCGCTATGAAAGCTGCGGGGTTCTATTATACAGGCTACACAGATACATTCTGTTGTCATACTTGCAATCTTGAAGTATCCGGATGGACGATCGATATGAAACCATTTACTATTCATTCGCAACGTAGTCCAACATGTGATTTCGTACGTTCAATAAAACCTGAAGGAACGATTTCGGCTTCTTCTATGTATAATCTTACTTCAACTATTTCAACATCGGATAATGATGAAAAATCTTCTAAGAGGCAGAAAATAGACGTACAACAAGATGATTTTCAGTTGAATATACTTGTAGAAGTAAACTTGCTAAAACAAATACGAAAGAGAACATTTTCACACTGGCCACTACGAACATCACCATCAAGTGCACAAATGATTCAAGCAGGATTCTTTCACTGTAATGTTGGTGATCGTGTCATATGTTTGTACTGCAAGATAGTTTGTCAACAATGGACATCAAATGGTGACGATCCATGGGATGTTCATAGAACACTATCACCCAAATGTCCATATGTGATTGCTATGATGAAACGTCAACAAACAGGATTAATTCATATTGTTAATGAACAAAATACAAGAGAGAATACTGTTGGCGTAACAACTGATGATCCATTTCGATGCCATGAAGTAGTTTATACTGCTGCATGCAATACTGATTACATTGAAATTCCACGACGTTATGCTACTTTTGCTACTTGGCTCACTGAAAATACACCATCAGTTGATGATTTAGTTCGAGCAGGATTCTTTTATACAGGCACAAAAACAGTCGTAACATGTTTCTATTGTAATGGGTCATTGCAGAATTGGGGTAAAAATGATAATCCAATGATTGAACATGCCAGATGGTTTCCTAATTGTGCCTATGCTAAACAACTGTGTGGTGCAGACTTATATCGAAAAATTCAGGAATCGAAAAAAGCTCAACAAGGTTTACTATTATTTATTTTCTTGAAGTTTAGACTAAGTAATTGTGTATTTTATATTTTTAGCGAGAAATGAAGAGAACGGTGGGAACAAACGACTTGGCAGTAGCAACAATGGTTCAGGAAATCGCGGACAACTAAACGTTTCAGATGAGAGTACATTATCAAGATTTGTGGCTGCTCGACTTGATTTACCAATTTCTCAGATTTTGCTTACACTAAATTTTAAGATATCCGTCATAAAACGGTGTTATGAAGATCAACTGCGAATAAAACGTGAGATATAATGATATTTATTATTTTTGTGAAAAACTAACGTATTCTTCAAAATTTTCTATCTAAGATGATGATTTTGAGGATCCTTGTGATGTTTATG